CACGGCTTCCACCGAAGAGGATCCATACTATACCATAGACTTTACTATACTGATATACCAGACTATACTAGACTATACTAGACTATACTAGACTATTCTAGACTGTACGAGACTATACTAGACTGTACTAGACTATACGAGACTATATTATACTCTACTATACTGTACTGTACTGTACTGTACTGTACCATACCATACTTGCTACCTTATGTTCCTTAGGACCAGAGCTTGATGCCAGGGATATTGAGAAACTCCATCCTGTTTCAGCAGACTCGGAGAACGCCAAGCCTGAACCGTTTGGGGTTAAATCTAGGGTTACCTCCAAACTTGCGACCAGACCCTGCAGGAATGAGAGTCTTTGATGAAAAGTTTGTCCTGCCTTGTTTCGCACCCTCCGCAATAGTAACAGCAAGCAATCGCAATTGTAGTATACAATAGTACAAGCCATACGACACTGTACTGTACTGCATTGAACTGTACTATACTATATGATCCGATATGACTGTATACTGCTGAATACTATATGCTGTATTCTTTTTCTGTTTACTCTATGCTATTTTCTATTCACTATATACTACATACTGCATACTCCAGACTACACTAGACTATACTAAACTAGACTAGACTAATTAGACTACACTGGACGATACTGTGCCATACCATAACTATATAGGTATGCACCATACTCCAGCTGACCCCACTTGCGAAGTCGAAGTCCCCTCGCTGCCGCCTCCAACACTTCCCGTGTCGCGCGGACCTTACCTCGAAGCATCTGCTGCTTGAACCTCGGAGAGGGGTTCTTTTAGGGATGTATGTGGGGTTTTAGTATAGATCCCTTGTAAGAACCACTTTAAGATCCCCTTACAAGAGCCGTAACCTTGTAGCACCCTTAGTCCTTATAAGACCCCTTTTAGATCCCATTAGAAGAACCCTAACCCCAAACCCTAAGCCCTAAACCCTAGACCTTAAACCCTAAACCCTAAACTCTAAACCCCTACAGCACCCTTAGTTTAGAGTTCGAGGGCTTAGGGGTTTAGGGGCGTTCTATCCTCAAAGGCTTCGGTCGGCCGCGAAGTCTTAGCCTCCCCCAAGAGTTGCGTTGCTTACCGGTACAACCTCTAGGGTTTAGGGTTGAGGGTTTAGGGTTTAGGGGTTTAAAGGTTTCGGGCCATAGGGTTGAGGTTTAGGGTTTCGGGTTTAGGGGTTTAAGTTTTCGGGCCGTAGGGTTTAGGGTTTAGGGGTTTAGGGTTGAGGGCTTCGGGTGTAGGGTATACTTCATTCTTGCGATGACGCGGGTGATCATAATCATGGCCATTCTCGCTTTTCTTGAATACCTTTCCGGGTTTCGAGGTGCAACTGGATCTGCAGGGATTTCTGATTTGGGATGCAACAAAGTCGCACAGAAAAGATAGAACCAAAGTTTCGGGATGACGATAGGAAAGGACATCGGGTATCAGCCTTCAATACGGCTTCGCAAATGGGCTCTGGGCTTCAACCCTAAACCCCAAACCCTGCTCGATAGGGGTGGCCCTGGGTGTTGCCGAAACGCTAAGCCCTGCAGCCTAGGTTTTGAGATCTAGGGCAAGCATCTCGAAGTGAGGTGCATGACAGGATTTCGGGGCGCAAAACGAGTGTGAAGTGGACATACTATATATGTATATATACACATGTATGTATGGATGTGTATGTATTATGTACGTGTGTATACATGTGTAGTTCTATACTTAGACATTGAACCTACTATTTTATGCTTGTGCTATGTCATGTGCTATCTGGGGCATTGTTCCTCCGTCCCGACATTCTCCGCTCTCGAGCCCTGCCATAGTGCCCTAAACCCTGAACTGTGTATAACTGGGTCGTTTAAGCCTCTTCAACCATCCTCTTATTACAGTCGGTCACTTTGGGGGGCTTAATGCGAATAAACCCTTACAGTAGAATAACATCATCTTACCTTCTACTATACGATACTACATTATTTTGTACTATGCTGCTCCACATGTCAGTATACTACATCTATATATAGATGTATATATATGTATATCTATATATATATATATAAATTTTTTTAATAAAAATAATAACTATTATTGTTACTACTACTATATAACGCAGTGCTGCTCGCTCGCACGTCGAAATACACGGCGATTTCGACGTCGCCCCGCATACCTGAATGAACGACTCCAGGCTCGCCCGGTAGGGCTGTGGCGAAGTGAACATGTTCAGTCGCCATAGGGTATAACGAAACTATTTCGGAAAAAAACTAACCTCCTAAGGCTCGGAAGTTCCCCTGACCTCCGCGCCATCCATTGGTTGGTCCTCCCGGTGGTCATGACCATGTTGGTCATGCCGAGGGCCTTGAGGCGGTGCACCCAAGCTCCTGTTTGGACTAAATGTTTTTCTTATGAATATTATGCTTTCGGTTTGGACGAAGAAGCGAAAACAAGAAACTGCTATGTGAACCCTCTCGACTACACTCTTGCTCCTGGGTAGCACTTCGTCTTGTACACATAAATGTCGGCGGAATCGTAGAAGCCCTCATTGTACCCCGACTGCAGAGCAAGCCCACCGCCACCCAAGCCAAGCAGACCCCACATACTGTACTTGTACGTCTGGGTGGTGGGGGCGTCCAGCAGTTGGATGGCGGAGTGGGATGTCCATTGCCATCTGTCTGCCACCTCACCAGCACACTTTCAGAAAGAATACGCGTTACGCCCTAACAGAAAACTGATCTACCAAAACTTTAAATACCAAATAACAGGCCTGGGCTGAGTTCATCATGCCCTCAGCCTCGTCGTACGGGAGGAAACTTGTGCTTCGGAGGAGATGCAATGTGTGTGAACAGTGTGTAGGCACTAACTACAAATACATGCAACCATTCAGAGGTTCAGAAAACACAATGGAGTATCAGTTTCAGCATCGACGTCACGACATCTTCTAGAGCGCAAGTATGACCATAAAGGATATGCTACTGGTCACCCTAAACCGTAAGCCCTGGTCAATTTTCACCTAAACCCTTTCGAAAGACAAACATTTCAATTCATGTAAAACCCCGCGAAGACAAACACGTCAATTCACTTAAGCCCTCGCGAAAGACAACATTTCAATTCACTTTGAACTCTCGCGATTCACTGAAGCCCTCGCGAAAGACAATAAAATCATATAGTAGTTTCAACCTATCCAATTCCATCCAAAAAACAACCCGCTATCACACGTCTTACAATCTCAACCTAGATACTTCTGCTCAATATAGTATATGTTTACATGCAATCTGTATATTCATGAAGCGAGGTATGTCGCGAGATAAAACTGAAGAAAACGCAAGAAGACTTTCCGCAGGAATGTGAAACTGTAGGAAGAATATTCGCAAGCCGGATGGGACAAGCTGCACTTTGTCAACATCCAGCTTGTCCCAACCTCCATCTCCTCTATTGTGATCCCCCCAATGCCTTGAACTTCCCTAGAAGTACAGGCATCTGCCTTCAGCATGGCTACTAATCTCACTAGTGAAGTCACCCGTTTTAAAAAAGGGTTCCAACACGTCTGCTCATGTCTGCAGCCTTTCGTAGCCTTCCTGGTTGAGGTTCTGACCTCAATGAACAAAATGTAACATGCGACCACGTAACCCCGTGATCTGAGTTTTGGACCGGCTCGCTGATCTTACAATCAGCCTTGTCGATTGGATATAAAATCCTGGAGCTGGCACATGATTTTCAAGTCCAGCTGGGCCTGTCTCCATGTGTAGAAGATGGAGAAATTTCTCGACAAGTATTTGCCATCCTGAAAGGATTTTATAATAAGGTCATTTCGTAGGAATCAGAACAGCTCGAAGATCATGACGCGCCTTGACCCACCTTGACTCGTGTTGGTGCAATTCTATAAATTTGGTTGCCCTTCTTGACCGCAGTCTCACAATCGTCTCTAACATGAAGCCACGGATTTAGAAACATGCTGAGACTTCAGCCTCACATAAGCCAGCTCCTTCCACAACACAACATACAATTTTGTCAACACATTTCTTAAGGCATAACTCCTTGGATAACACCACCATTGCTGCGAGGAGCCAGAAGACATCAAACTTGATTCAAGATAATTCTTTTAGAGATAGGTTCATAGAAGTCATCGTACAGAACTAACAATCGGAGCCATTGTACAGAGATGCTATGATTGCATCGTATGACTCATGTACTACCATCTCTTTAGGCATATCTCGCGCGATACATTTCATTGGCGAACATTCCAAGCTTGAGCCCGAGATCTTGGGTCACCAAATGTGGCACGCGCCAAAAAAAGCCAGAGGATTGGCAACAAGCACGCCGACGCGCTTTCAACCCGTCGAACCCATAGATCGCTTCAAATCTGGTTGAAACCTGAATTCCCGGATCGGAAGTATTTTGCATTTCAATCGCAACAAACCAATACGGCTTTCAAATCGAACCGTTCGGCTAGGGTCCTACAGCGCTTGGCGTGCAAACTAGCTGTCTCGAAGCGGCTTCGGGTCCGCCTAACGGAACCAACATGCCGGAAAGACGTACGGACCACCCGGTAGTACTAGTACTAGTACTAGTACTACTATATATAAACGAACCCTATTCCAAGTATTGAGGTCCCTATACTACTTGGAGGTTCATGGGTAGTTATAAGTGGAGTTGTAAGTCCCCTAATACGGGTTATTATTATGGCTACCCTAGTTATAACCCGCAAGTATAACTCCCCCATGAACCTCCAAGAACAGAAGTTACTTCAGGTTTTCTGGCACCAAACACTACTACTCGTAGTGAAACCCTGCTCTATCCATACTCTCATATATGCCGGGCAAGGGGTCTCAGCCCTCAACACTCAGAGCAAGGGCTTGGGGTATGTTGATCAGACAGGGACTACAAGGGAAACTATGCCTGATCATTCTTAAACTACAAAACCGCGGAAAACACCTGAAACCCTGAGCTCTAAATCCTTAAGCGCTGAACCCTAAGCCTCCAAAATGTCTTCCTGAGGTCGCAGACATCTGCTCGGCGAGCAGGGTCTGCCGTGGCTCGGCATAGGCGTAAGCCAGGAGGAGCATGGTCAAAGCATCCTGGCTTATGAAGGGCTACTATAATGTAATGAGGGCCCTAAACCCTAAACCCTAAACCCTAACCCCTTATGAAGGGCTACTATAGTGTAATGAGGGGCTCTCTAACCTGGGGTCGAGGGTTTTAGGGTTTCAGCATTCCTCATGGTACCCCGAAACCATACCCTTATGCCTCCTGATTTTCAACTTAGGATTCTTGAGGACGCTCGTAGACTGCTTTATGGGTTCTTCTTCCTGCAGGGTTGTGTTTCTCTCCGTTTAGAGACTTGTCTGGTCTTAAATATAGGGGCCTAGATAGTTACTAATACTATTTTGGGGGGCTCCTTATTAAAGCTATCGCATAATTTTATCCCAAAACCCCATTCCAATTATTAAGGCCCCTACATTAGCATGTTTCAGAATGTCGAGTTGCATGGCCTGGGTTCTCAGGCTACAGGATTTCAGGTGTAGAGTTCAAAAAAAACAGCGAGATTTTCCCTAAGGTCTACTTGTTAAACCCTAAACCCTAAACCCTAAGGTCTACTTACTAAACCCTAAACCCTAAACCCTAAACCCTAAACCCCAAATCCTTCGGAGCCGTCTGGGGAAAAACAACACAAGTTAAGGCTTTCCACATCGGAGGCTAAGCCCAAGACCTGAGCCCTAATGTGGACTCTTGATCAAGACATATTTCTTTTCCTAACACTAAGACGGTTTAGGGTTTAGGGTTTAGGGCATGTACCTTCGCCAACAAATCCTCAGAGCAAGGGTTGAGATGGAAAACGACCAGAAGAACAAACCCTGCACCCTAAGATTTTGGTCTTTGGCGCCTAAACCCTAAACTTTTGGTCTTAGGGGCCATAGACCCTAAACTTTTGGATTTTGGGGCCTAGACCCTAAACCCCTGATCTTAGGGACATAAACCCTAAATCCGTGGTCTATGGGGGCTAGACCCTAAACCCTTGGTCTCAGGGGCCTAAACCCTAAATGATTGGTCTTTGGGGCCTAAACGCTAAATGTCCCTCTCCAGCTCCTGTGCCCCCGCAGGACTAATCTAGGGGCCTTAATAATTAGAATAGGGTCCTTTACAAGGTTCCTCAAAAGTTTAGGGTATAGGGGCCTTAATAATTAGAATAGGGTTTTGGGGCGCAATATGCTCATTAGATTTATAATAAGGAACCCCCCAACATGATATTGGTAACTCTTGAGGCGCCTACATTAACTCCCATCGGCTTTTTGGGCACTGAAACGGCTCCCAAGTCGCTCATCGACAAGAACCTGTAAAGGCGTCAGCCAGCACTTTGCCAAACGTCTCCATTCTGATGGCAATGCTGCTGATGACGACGACGACGGTGATGGTGATGGTGATGGTGATGGTAATGCTGCTGATGATGACGGCGATGATGGTGATGAGGATGGTAATGGCCATTACTATTACGCCGATGCTGACGGTGGCTGTAATCACATTGGTTCTGCGTGTGAAGAAAGGACTAACTAAATGATGTGGGGATGAAAGTGATGAAGATGGTTACCATGCATGATGGCACATAAAGGGCTCATATTGGCACCTCGTCTATCTCCAAGCCATCAGCTTCCATCTGCTGCATGCGTGCTTCTACCTGGCTTCGGGCAGGGCAGTGCGAAGAGACATGCTCACGCGCTCGTCTACAATGTCCTACAGACAGGTCCAACTTTCCTGTTTTTGAGGATGAGGATTACGAAACCGTAGCAAAAGAAGCAGCAGTGCTAGTTCATGAGGCTTCCGGCACCGGGGATGCCTGTTCGTAGTCGCCAAGAAACACATCCGCGCTGGCGCGGGCAGCATAGACACCCGGGGAAAGCTCCTCGTTCAGGGTTTTGGGTTTCGGGTTCCCCGACACATTCAGTATAGATAACGGCCGGATGACGTCCGCGATTTTCGTGGCTACAGTTGTGTGCTGAGAAATCTTCCTGCGAATGCTGCACATCTGGGGCATGTTCCAAAACATTCCCTGCAGTTCGCTAACGTCCCCACGCCGTCCTGTAATCTAAGTTCTCAAATCTTAACCCGTTTGCATTCCAAAGACCTGAGCCCCGCCCGCAAACACACCGACACACAGGCACCGACACACACAGACACACAAACGCACAGACACATGGAGACACACGCACACGCAGAAACACGTACACAGACAGACACACACACACACACAGACACAGAAAGGGACACAGACATAGACGCAGACGCAGACGCACAGAGACGCAGAGACACAGAGACACAGAGACACACACACACACACACACGAGCAATTGAAAGCCAACCCACCAGACCTCCTTCAAGCCCCGAACTAGCAGTGTTCAAGTTGTGGCGGTGCTTGTGGAAATTCAGGATTTGGGGTTCAAGGTGTCTGGCCTTCGCAGTGCCATTGCTTTTCAGTGCATCCTGGGATTGCGCTTTAGGGCTTCTCTGCTGCATCGCGGGTTATGAAGGCCTTTTGTTTGGAGCTGTAGGAAGTTATAGGGACTTGCCAGGGCTTTATAGGGGTTCATAGGGGTTTCTGAGGGTTCTAATTTTTTCATAAAGTCTTAGACAAAATCGACGCCGGAAGGGGCTTTGTAGGGGTTCATCGGGGTTTCATAAGGGTCTAGGCCTAGGGTTCAGGGTTTAGGGGTTCGAATCCCCGCGCTCGCGCACTCCTCGCCAAAGAATTGGAAGCGGGAGATCCACCTGGCTTTCCAGAGTCCCTTAAGAACCCAAAACCCACTTTTTTGCAGGTTCTTATTATAAACCCTATTATGGGATTTATAGGGACCCTACAAAAAAGTAGGTTTTGGGTTCTTAAGGTCGGTCTCAACTCCGATAACCCCCTACTCGGAGGTTCATGGGTAGTTATAGGTGAAGTTATAAGTGGAGTTCCTTTAAGGGTTCCTTTAAGGGTTTAGGGTTTAGGGTTTAGGGGTAGTTATAAGTGAGGTCATAAGTAGGGTAACCATAGTTATAACCCATATCAGGGGACTTGTAACTCAACTTATAACTACCCATGAACCTCCAAGTAGTATAGGGACCTCAATACTTGGAATAGGGTTCCTTTAAAGGGGTCCTATAAGAGATTAGTATAAAGGGTATTATGGAAGGTTTTGTGTAGGAGCCTCAATGATTAGAATAGGGGTTTTAGGGTCCATGCGACTACAAGTAAAACGAGGAACCACCAGAATAGTATTGGTAAGCATTGAGGCCCTCATATTACACCTGAAGCACTGAGACCGCAAAACCTAGCCTAGATCCCATGGCTAAACTCGAAACGCACTGCTCAAGGCCTACGAGATTCAAGTTTATGTCGCGAAACCTGAATTTAATGTCCAAGATGCTAGCATTCAGCAGGCAGGGGGACTTCAAAGCTTGCTCAGAATGACAGCAAGGTTGAGACTTGACATCTCGGGTCGTTCGATCCTCGAGAATTCTGCACAGAGGGCAGAATCTCTGAAGGGCCAGGGTTTAGGGTTTAGGGTTTAGGGTTTAGGGTTTAGGGTCGAAGCCATCGATCGCATGGCGCCTTGCTCAGGTGTTGCTTCCTCACTGTTCTGACTTGATTGCTCGCCTGTGCCTAGGAAAGATACGGGACGGCACCTTAAACCCTTTTGCAACTGGCCTGCTGCGATTGCTGCGACTCCGCCAGGACGCACCTTAAACCCTAAACCCCGAAACCCTAAACCCCGAAACCCTAAACCCCTAAACCCAAACCCCTAAACCCTGAGAACAAAGACCTAAACGAGGCTGTGGAGAAGTCCTGGACCCAGCTCCCCTCGAAAAGCGGTGGCACCACTCTTCCGCGGCTCTCTTCCCCTGCCACATTGCAACAAGGGTTGAAGGGTTTACGGTTTTAGGGTTTAGGGTTTAGGGGTTTAGGGTTTAAGGTTTAGGGGTTTAGGGGTTAGGGTTTAGGGTTTAGGGTGTGCTTTCGTCGGGTTCGGCGTTTAAGGCCTTAGGGCTTTGGGAGGCTCTGGGCTTCAGGATTACTTTCAGGGCCCTAAACCCCAAAACCGTAAACCCTCCACCCGAATCCTTATGAAGCCTCTTTAACACCCTGAAGCCCTAAACCCCAAAAGCCCTAAAACAACCTAAACCCCTAAACCCTGAGTTCTTACATGTAAGTTCTTACGGCCCTAACCCCTAAACCTTAAACCCCTAAACCCTAAAAGGGCGCATCATGATCTCTTCCCTGGAGTTTAGGATTTACGGCCAAAGTTTAAGGGTTTAGCTGTTTAGGGTTCAGGATTTAGGGGCTTGGAGGGCTTGGGGGTTCAGGTTATAGGGGTTTAGGGTTTAGGGCGGTTTAGGGCTAAGGCTTTAGGGCAGTTAGGGTGTAGGGTGTTGGATCTAGGGTGACGTGTGTGTGGGGGCTCTTTGGTCTAAAGCATGACCGCGACAGAGAAACATCGAGGAGGGGCGGCCTGAGCTTGAAAAAAACGCCGCGGCAGAAAGAAACTTTAGGGTTTAGGGTTCAGGGTTTGGGGTTTAGGGTTTAGGGTTTACAAGCCTGAAACCTAAACCGTCCTAGGACTCCCATACTGCTCCTTCCGGCTCCAGATTATACCTCTACTCGAACTATCCCGCAAAACCCTTAATAAACGACTCCAACAACGTGTTTTTAATCGAATCTAGCATACCCCAAAACCCTTTCCTCACTGCTTGGGCCCCCAGCTAAACCCTTCCACGAGAAGCGGCGAGTTGGCTGATATGGGAGTTTCCAAAAATTAGGGGGGTACCTTATCGGGGGTCCTTATAATAGGGATCCTATTATTTAGGGTACTATATTAGGGTCCCCTATTTTCGGAAACCCCCATATAGGAAGCCTAAACCCTAAACCGAATACGCAGAAACGCGTTGCTGTCAAGGGATCTATAAAGGTTACTGTAGGGTCTAGTATGGGGGTTTTAGTGGCCTGCATAAGCAGAATAGGGCTCTGGGGGTACATTCGAGTTTAAGTATCGGAAGGAGGGGTCTAGGGTTTAGGGTTGAGGGATTGAGTGTTTAGGGTTTAATATCGGGGCCTTAATAATTAGAATAAGGTTTTGGGGGCTCCTTATTGAAATTATGGCATCGTGGACCCCCAAACCCTATTCTAGTTATTGAGGCCGCTTATATAAAGGCCCCTATATTGGGCCTATATTAGGCCCCTAAACCCTAAACCCTACACCCCTAAACCCTAAACCCGGCTCTCTAGTATGGTTGCATTTAGGGCGTCAGCCAGGCCCCTGTCTTTCGGCTTCTCGGCCGCAGCCCTAAGTCACCCTGAACTGGGTTTAGGGTTTAGGGTTTAGGGTTTAGGGCTTAGGGTTTAGAGTTTAGGGTTTAGGGTTTATGGTTTAGGGTTTAGGGTTTTGGCCTCAAAGCCCGACATCCAGAAACCCTACACCCCTCAAGCTCGAAACCCTTACAGAATCCTTGTAGACGCCTTATAGCAACCCTTACCCAGAGCCAAATACCCCTTAACTACGGAATAGACCTTAAATCATACATTAATATTAAGGCCCCTATAATGTAAGGTATGTTCCTTAATTAAGGGGTATTGGGCTCTCTGGGTAAAGGAACCCTTAAAGGAACGCTAAACTGCACATTCGCTCCTCGGACTTCCTCTTGTGCTTTCTGCCTTTCTTCGCCTCGGTTTAGGGTTTAGGGTTTAGGGGCTAGTTTGCTCTGGTTGCGAATGAGCTTTAGGGTTTTAGGGTTTAGGGTGCCTTTCGTTCGAGGGCTTAGCAAAAGCATGCTGGGGGGTGTAACATACGCGTACAAGAAGGGTTGCATAAGTTTTGCATGCTTTCTGTTGCAGTGCTTGGGGCTTAAGGATTAGAGTGACTAGAGTTGTGTGTCTGGGGCTGACAAGGGCTAGGTTCACCCTAAACCCAAAACCCAAAACCCTAAACCCTACGCGTGAAAGCGCGAAGCTTTGCAGGGACCCAGAGAAGGGACCCCTAATCCAAAGACCCTATAGACTTAAGGGCCCCTTATAGAGTCTCATAAAGCCCCTACAAGAACCCTAAGGGTCGCTTTAAGGGTCCCTCCTTTCGTCCCTTGAACCCAGCGACAAAAGTTATGAAAGCCAGCCACGAACTCTACATCAGAGACCCGGCGGCTGCGTATGTAGAGCAATCGTATAGGCTTGCTTCCAAGAGCTGGTCGAGAGTGCAATGTCCCGGAACCAATATGCACCAGATTACAGGAAACTACAGGTGGGGAGTTTAGGGTATACAGGGCTTCCATAACACTTCTATAAGGCATATAGACCTTCTATCAGGCTTCTATAACGGAAACTACCCACCTGAAGATGTCCTAGACCAGAAGCGTAGGGTATGAAGAGAACACAGGAGCAAACACGAGAGAAGCACCCTAAACCCTGAACCCTAAACCCTAGAAGTGTCATCGGACTACTACGGGCTGAATAGGGAGCTCCCAAGGCACAAAACGACGGCCACAACAAATCCATCTTCCAAAGTTACAGCATCTACTCCTGCATCTACATCTAGATCTAGCCTTCGATCTACTACCACTACTGCTGCTGCTACTACTCGTCCCACCAGCACCAGCACCAGCATAAGCACCAGCACGAGCACGAGCCCCCGGCACCAAGCACCAGCACCAGTGCGACTAGGACCATGCCGCCACGACAACCACAACTACGACTACAGCTAGGACTGCGACTACGACTACGACACGTATCAGTTTGATCTACCTGTTTTCTTCATCGCCATGACCCTTGCCATCCTCATCACTGTTGAATCTGGTCTGGCGCACACCTAAACCTCACTCCCACATGGAGAGGCCGTTTTGTTTCTTCGGCAGTTGCCCACATGTCGAAGGTACGAG